GCGGAGTAACGGCGTTTGCCCCAATCCCGGGGGGTGACGGCCTGCCTTGGGCAGGGCTGGGAAGTAAAGGCCGGTGCCTGGGCTGTCGTGTTCTAGAAGTGACCGAAAATCAGGGCCCTGTGGTGGGCACCCACCCGCAAAGCGCGGGGGCAGGACTCCCGGGCAGACGAGGATCCCCTTACGCTGAAGGGTTTTAAATACAAATTCAGCAAAACGGGAGCAGTTTGGGTTCAGCCTTGAGCCCGAGGATGGGGCTGGGTGACCTCAGGCCCCCTTTGCACCTGCTGTGGAAGAAAAGTGTCCTGGCACCTTTGGTGTAGCTCTGGGCCATTAAAATGGATTTTTCTTGAGGGTATGCACTCACTAACACAAGGCCTGAATTTTAAAACTGCTTAATTATTTTGGTACAAGCTTGCATATGGCTCTCTTGCCGGAGAACTAGTGAAATTACATGTTGCACAAAGCCAGGGAGTGAAAACTGAGCAAATGGGATTTTGTATATAAACATTATTTGGAATATTGCCTTAAAATGTTTAACTTTAGTGGTTGACTAACACTTGCATGAGAAGTAATCTTTGACAAATAATCAACACTCCCGCCTCTCAAGATGGCCTAGGTTTACACTAACAGGTTCTGTAGACGCAGTCTCTTAGGGGCAAGTTATTTATTTTAGTGTTTTGCTGATAGAACTAACCTAGTACAAATATGGCTTAGAGGCAGAAAGCGTGACTTCACTGATACTGTTTAATTTGCTTGCCAAAGCAGTATAATCTGCACAGGCATTTCTGTTGGTAGAGCTGTCTGCGCGAGGAGGCTGCTCCGGCGTACAGCCATGGTAGGAAACCTTTTAAGTGCAGATAAGTCTCTAAGGCGTTAGAAGCCGATGACACACCCTGTCATTTACTGAACCTGCTGCCGCAGTGTTTCTGCTCTGTGTGATCCTTTTGAATTCATTTGTGCTCTGGGAGTAGCATTATTAAGGGATGGACTTCTTTTTTTCTCTCTTCTCTTTCCCCCAACCCTGCCGTAAAATGACCAGCCTGGACCGCGTTGGTGTTTTTCAGCAGCCCCCAAGGCGTTTCTATGGTGGAAGCATCCAAAATATTGTTCCAGAAACTTTAATGTAGAAGTGCAGCTAACGGAGGTGAGAACAGTGTCTGCAAGTTTCTGGGGTCTGCCATCTGTGTGACCATGTATTTACTAGATTTGAAGGGATACAAATGTGATCTTCTTAAATAAGCTGGAAACTGGCAATTCCTAATGAGTTATCAGAACAGCCCTTGAACCCGCAACGCCGTCTCCGTGCCCTAAAGCAGCACAAGACCAGTGCTGGTGCTACCGCCGCCACCTTCTCCTCTTTTACAGTTGAGAATTTCTTTAGCCTGAGCAATTAAACACCTGAAAAACTCTCCAGCACCCCCAAACCCTCTCTCTGTCTGCTCTTACTTGGCAAGGAAATAGAAGACTACTTAAATACAGATGTGGTCAAGCTGGGCAGGTCTGGTTTAAAGCATGTCAACTATACCCTGAGAATTTGCAAGGCAGTAGATTATTGGGAAAAACTTAGGGATAATAGTCAGCCTTTCTATGTGCTAATCCTCTCTGCTACTGACTCCCTCTGTGGCTTTTGTAACCCACCTCAGCTCTCCTACCACCCAGCTTTCCCCTCTGAGAAATAACGTTTAACTTGCACTCGTGCAGTAGGTGAATCAGCTTTAAGATTTGTCAAGCGCTTTGTTGATAAGTTCCCTATAAAGCTAGTTATTATTTTTTATTAACACGCAGATATTCTTAGCACTTGAAGTGAAAAATGACACAACACTGGGGATCTTCTGGGAAACAGCCCTATGAAAGGAGACGGTGCGTACTAACGAGGGCTTTGTCAAATCTCTTCTGGCTGCGGTTCACAAGGCAGCTTGCTCCTAAAGCTCTGACTCAAAAAAAAAAAAAAAAATCCTCTCAAGTCACTGGGAAATCTTAAATGTTCCTAGAAGTTAAGCCCTGCTTTTGCATAAGATTTGCAGATCTTGCCCCCTTGCTGGATTTCTTGCAGAGCCTTCAGTCGGGGTTTGGTGCAGCTGTGTGCGTATGACAGCTGCTCTCACCCGCTTTGAAACACCTTGTTTCAATGATTTCAGTTGCTTTCAGCAATCATTGCCTCACATTATTCTGGCTGGGGTAGGGAGGGCTTCCCCGCTCAGCTGGGTGGTGACCCTTACAGGCTACAGCCTGCTGCAACAGTTGGTGGGGTTGTTTGGGGGTAAGAGGGGAGGAGGGAAGCCTTGCCCTCCCCTGCAGGCAGCCCAGGTCAGCATCCCTCGCCCTGCAGCGTGTGGGAAGGCCGTCTTCACCACCAGAGTAGTTTGGTGGCAAATTGAGCTGAAGAGCTTCGTTTATGAAAGGTAATGAAGACGTGAATTGACATGGTTGCGGCTGTGCTTGTTCTGTGTTGCTGTGTGGGTGCCCTTTCAGCAGGATGAGGAGCTCTATTGTATTTTGGGGAAGAGAAGGCTGTTAATTTAGCTCGGAGATGTCACTGCTGTGGCAGTGTAGGAGTGACCAGATGGAGGATGCTAAAATGAAATGCAGGGCTGGAAAAGCCTCCTTGTCCATGCCTCTGTCCTGAGGCCAGGTGAGAGATACTCGGCTCCAGACTGGACAGTGGTGGATGTTAGTGCAGATCTGGACTGGGGGCAAGTTCCCTCTGAGACTTGATGAAATTCTGGTCTCAGAGAGCCTGATACCTCATCTAACTCGCTTGTGCAGCAAATTAAGCGGGCTGCTGTGTCTCTTGCCTTCAGAGAACGGGGAGCCCAGCGGATGGTTCTCCATCTTGTAAACAGCTGTTAAATTCTGAGAGGTGACAACGACCCTGGAGGGGAGCAGGGATGGAGAAACCCTTCAACAGCGTGTTTTACACCGCTGACTGCTCCGCTTGTTGCCCAGGCCCTCCGGTTTGTCTGCGACTTTCTTAGGGGTGGTGCCCAGCACTGGGCATGGCCTTCCAGCCCAGAATTAGGAATTTCATGTTCTTAAATCACAGAATGAAGTTTAGCTCTTTGCAGCTGGAGCTGTGGTGTCACAGTGCTGACACACGTCGCATTTTTAGTCCAGTCCCTGATTTTCCTCAGCGTTACCTCTGTCCAGTGAGCTTTCCCCTGTGCTGTATTTGTGTGCTTGATCTTTGTTTTTGCTGTTTCCAAGTGTGGTTCTCTGCATTGTTTTCCTTGCTTTTCTTTTTATTGATTCGTGGGTCATTTTGGAACTTTTCTTCGGTTTATCAATTCTGGTCATGACCTCTGGAGTGCTTCCAGCTCTTAACTGCTGGGCATCCTTTCAGGTTTTATAAAAGTACTTTCTTTTTCATTGTTCAGGCCATTAATTGAAAAGGATGAATAGAAGCAGACCTGGACTGAGCTCTGAGGGCCCATACGTGAGATTTTCTCCCGTTGTGAAAGGGAATCGTTGATAGCTACCCCTAAAGTGTGTGTGTGGGGGAGTTAGGTTTTTTTTTTTAAGTAATGAGCACTGTGCCTCGTTAAGGTGAGCTCACCTAGTCCAAGTTCCTCAGGTTTGCCTGAGACTGTCAGATGGATAGAGCGAAAAGCCTGCTTTAATGCTGTTGTGCTGGTCGGAGGTGTGATGGGCAGATCTCTGTAGAGGGGGAGTTGTGCCCCATTTCTGAAGACTCGGGTGATTTTCAAGAGCTTTCATGAACTTCATTTATCTGGGGCTTCTCACTGGCGCTCGCTAGGACTAGTGTCGCTCAGAGGCAATCCTCTGGTCGCTCAGCTCTGCTTTCCACCGAGAGCTTGCTGGGAGTGTCTGCTTTGGTAGCAGAGGGGTATGCATGGGGGGAATTTGTGTCCGTAGTGTCCTGTTCCCCTTTGATTCTCTGTAGGTCTGTCCTCAGTGAGAGTTAGGCTTGTCTGTATGTGACTAAGGTAGTAAAAATACATTTTTCTCCTCAAGCAATTCAAGCTCCTTGTGTGGTTGCTCTGCTCTGGAAAAAAAAAAATTACTTGCTCTGGAAAAATTAATTATACTCATTTTTATCCCTGAATAGTGTGTCGCTGTGGGAGCGGTTGCAGGATACCTCGTTCCACCAGGGCTCTGCCAGTCACCGTCTCAGTGCGAACTAAGCTTAAGGAAGAGGAGTTGCTTTAACTGAAATACTATTAACTGGAGAAAACATCACTGTCCAAACAGGACCAGCTCTAACTGCCCTTGAGTTCTGTAAGTACTGAGCTACTGCATTCAGCTTTTTGTATTTTAAGAGGTTGGTCCTTTCCTGAAGTGCACTTCCACCCACTGTACCATCTTTCTTTGCACATCGGTGTAACTGCGGGGTGAAATTCGGGCTCCACTGATTTCAAGGACAACACAGAGTTCCTCTGTGGTTTTCACCTCTTCCACCTCTCAAGGCTGGTAACTCAAGGTACCTGGCCACGGCTGTTCGCCCAGGTTGTGCTTCAAGGGCATCATCAATGGGATGGAGAAGCTATGCCCTGTTCGTTCTCCTTTATTGGTCCACAGCTGATGGTGCGTGCCCTGACCAAATTTCAGTTCCAGGGGAGAAAATTGAGCCTCCCTAAAGCATTCCTGTGGTTTCGGTTGGGTTCTTCCTTACTTCTCTCCGGGGGGCTGCGTGCTGTAGTTAAATACTGGTAGAAAGGTTGTGTTCCACTCTGGGTTACGGCTGAATCTTGATGGTGGATAAATTGCATCCCAAGTCCAGTTTGCAAAGCCCTTTGGGCTTCATGGGATGCAAGAAGCTGTATTGTATTCTAGAGGTGTGTTTGCTGATAATTCTGTAGGATTTTCAGTGGGCAGGTTGTAAGAGTCCCGATTATACTGGTTCTCTGTGCAGTCAGACTCTTTCCCCAATAATTCAAAAGCCTGTTGCAGAGAGAGGAAAAGGAAGATGGAAGGATGATTTAGAAACCTCTGGGTCACTGGGATAGGTGGGAAGAAGATGCATATGTTGATCTGAAGGAGATACTGAGCCAGGTATATGCCTTTAAGCATCTAAAGAAAAGTCAGGATTTTTTTAACAGCTGCCTACTTTAAACCCAAATAGTTTCTTTAATGAGAGTTTTTAAAGGTTTAACTGTTAATTTTAGAATTTTTATTTCAAGCATGCTTCCATAAAATTAACTTTTTCAACGCAGAACACTTTAATGTCTTCCGTGTTGGTGCTCATTTGCAAGAAATCTATGTGCAATTATTTCTTATGTACCAGTTAAATCTATCAGCCAACAGATGTCAAGTGTAGCAAAAATGCTATAATAATATTATGGTCTAATAATAGTTATAATAATTCTAATTACCTGGCGCAGCTTTTGAGAGAGGCAGACTCAGAAATTAGTGCAACTGGGTTGTTTAACCTTGAAGTATGGCACTTCCAGAGGTGTTTGGGCTGTACCCCTTCTTCCCTGTCGGACATCCCATTCCTTTTATTTCCTCCAGCAAACTGGGAGTAACAGTCCGGTCTGTTTTAAATGTTCAAACCTCATTCTCGGTATGTTTAGAGGCGGAGAAAAGTGCTGGCGAACTGTAGATGAGCACGTTTCTTAAAATACCTGTAAATGTGAAGCCCGGTCATTTTTAGCCTTGCGCTGCAGTCTAGCCGCCCTGGTTTCGGCGCGCTCCCGCTGCCTGATGATTACAGCGCGCACAGATTGCTCTCACCTCAGGAAGGCTGCAGGAGGCTCAGCAATCTCCATCTTTCATGTGAGCCGGTTGTGCTGCTTTTAAGTGTCAGGGAGGCTTTGCCACAGCCCGGAAAGCACAAAGCCAGCCTGAATCTGCCTGAGTGCTGCCGGGCAGCTTTCACACTGTCCACTGATGGGAGAGTAGGTGTGGGGGTGTGCAGGCAAGCACACGTGAGTTGTTGATCCCGATGGAGGCTTTGGTGTGAGAGGTGAGGAGGGCATGTCAGCAGGTAGGAGCCAGCCGCCTTGCTGGTGCACCGGTGCTATGCTTTGCCTTCCGCAGTTTGGACCCGCACAGCCTTGTCGGAGTCTCCATCCCCAGCGCAGGAAGGGTGCTCTGTGTGCCAGCTCTTTTACGTCACTCCCAGTGCCTCTCTGCCACCGTATTTTTCTTTTAGGAAGGATCCTGAGCTGCATTTTCTATATTCCAGTGGTTTTTGCCCGACGTTGCTATGTGCTGTGTAGTGTCTTGGGGTCCCAGTGCTCAATATTATTGTAGGACTGATAAGGCGATGCATAATGGATCGCCCCTTGCCGCAGCTGTTCATTTTAATTTTGTGATGTGAAACTGGTGAGGAGTCCCTGGTTCACAGAGAAGGATCCTTTCCACGGAGGAAGTCCCCCCATAGGCTGGAAGTCGACAGCTTTCAATGATTATATGCCAGGCTGAACGTTTCTCCTTTAAATAATAGATTCACATGCTGATGGGAACTCAGCAGGACCTATGGGAATTTGGCTGTCGGTTGCTGATCCCTGGCATGGGCAGCAGCTGTGAATCTTTTAGTGTCTTCCTGTAAAATGGATCCAGAGGTGCCCTTGCAAGGTTTTTTTCTTCATTTCCAGCCTGCTTGTAGGCCAGCATGCTCCACTTCTCGCGAAAGCCCTGCCTGCCAGCGCCGCTCACACTCGGCGCACGCAGCCCACCTTTCTCCAGGGCTCACGCTGGTGAGAGCTCTGCCATCTTCAGCCTTTTCTTTGGGGAGGTTTGCCTTCTTGCTGGAGTCGGTACCTCCATTGGTGCATCACCATGGAGATAGGGCTGTAGGAGCTGCAGGGCACAGCCTTTTCCAGGCTCACGTGAAGAAGGATGCAGTAACGGGCTACCCTTGTTTAGGTAAAATGATTCCTCGGAGTAAATAATTTGTCAAAGAACACTTGGCATCACCCCAGATGCTATTAAGGAAAAGACAAATCTTGGATCTCTTCAAGCCCGAGCTGTAAGGCTCATGTAATATTCACTTGCTTTTTAACATGCCGCTTTGCTTTGCTCAACATCAGGCATTGCTGCTGTGACCAACGCTGACTCACTAACCTGCTTGTGCTTTTTACCTACCCTGAGAAACCAAAGCTCCCTTTGTTTTCTGCTCCTGGTAAATATTAGCAGTGTATTTCTCATCCTGCCACAAAAGCACCTTTCTGCATCCCTTTTCTCAGCCCGTTGAGAGTCCGGATTTTCACTGCTCTGAGTTGGTTGCAAGGGTTCGCTTCCCTGTGACCAGTACGGCTCGGGCCGCGTTTCCAAAGGACACAAAGGGTGTGCAGGTGCATTGAGCTCTCCTGCGTGCAGAGGAGCGCAGGCACCTCCCCGGCTCGGCAGACAGTGCCAGCGCACCCCAGACCCTGAATGAGCTCGTGCTGAAACCTCCTTGGGGGTTTGGAGACGCTGCCCTTTCTGCTCGCCTGGCACTAGCGCACTCTTTCTTCATCTAGTTTCTGGTACACAGAGAACCGGCTTGACAAGGTCTAGAAGAGCCCTCCGGCACCTCTCTGCCTCATTGCCTCCACGTCTCATTTCAGACTTCATTTGTAAACATCTCTTTGCCCGTGCTAAACACCGTGTCTCTTAATTTCTCTCTGCAAGAGTATTATTTAATTGGTAAATGTGTTAGGACATTATTTGAAAAATATGATATGAAGCTGTATTTCATGTACTGTAATGATCCACTAATGCGGGCATATTTCAAAGGCAGGCTATGCAGTACTGTGGGGTTTAATTAAATTTTGTTTTTCAAGTAAGCATCAACAGACAGACAATAACAAATGGTGGACAATGTGCATACAGAACAAAGTCACTCCCTTTTTCTTTTCCAAGACTGTGGAAGTGAAAATGTATAGCCCTTGAAATGTACTTGGCCTGCTCACAATTGCAGCTTTGGTGCAGTTACTCACTTTATGGGGAGTTTTTTTTCTTCTTACTCTGACTTAATTAATTTTCTTGGTCTTTTCTGGCCCACAAAATAAACTGTTAGGCTATGCAAAGTTTCCAGCAGAAGCCTTGGGTGAGCTAGGTTCTGCTGCAAGCTCTGGACTTAGTTTTGAATACTGTGTTGCTTAATGCATTATGGCTTGTAGAGATGGGTCCTCGGGAGGGTTACAAAATGGAAGGGCTGGGTATGAGGGTCTCGTTCCTTCGGTGGGAAACGCCTGTCTCCGGTGGCTGGATGTGGTGTGTGCCAGTGCTTGGCGCAGGGAGGTTGCCGGGAGGTAAGAATGATGTTGTTGCATTCAACATTGTTGTACCTGAATCGGGAATAAGCAAGTGGCTTTTGAGTGCATTTCGTTCCCGTTTTTCCAGCAAGCATGGGGTAATCAAATACAAAATGTATTCAGAGAAGCTTGGAAAGTCTGTTCAACGTCAGCGGGAGGCTGTTGGAAATCATAATGGCACTCACAAGCGTGGCACTTGAACAAGTTTTCTAGGGGTAAAGAAATTCATCGGTGATGATGCAAATGGGCTCCTTTGTTTGGGTTTGTGCAGAGCATCGCTTGAGGAGCAGAGTGAGATTGCTGGCTGGAACATCACTGAGTTCTGGTTGGTTTCTGGTGGCTAGCATGGGTTTTGTTCTCTCTCAGTGTTTGTGAAATTTTCCATCGTTTAGAAACATAACCAGAATTTGCTGAGGAAATTAGTGCAGGTGCCCTGGACTCCCTCAGCACTACAGCCCTTTGATTTCTTTCTGAAATCTCTCCAAGGCAGAGTGCTGAAAAAAAAGTAATTTTTTTCAGAGGACGACCCCCCGTCCTCCGCTCAGAGATGTGAGTTCAAGCCGTGTCCTGGATTGACGCCTAAAGCTTTGCCTGCTTAACCTGCCTGCAAATGGACCCCGGGCCGGGGCAGCGGGGTGGCTGGGGGCGAGGGCTGGCTGTGCCTGGCACTGGCTCTGCTCACCGCCGGCTGACCCGGGGTGGGTCACCGTCCAAAGAGCTGTTGGGTGGAAATTGGAGCGTGTAAAGCCTGGGAGAGGCTGTGGGAACCTGGCTTTCGACTGGCGTCTCTGCAGCTGTAAGTGCCTGAAAAGCATTGCTGTAAATGACAGACTTGTGTCTGCTAACCTCCTCCTCCATGAGATCTCGGTTTAACACTTCCTGCGTTTTGGTAACAGCCTGTGTTTTGCTCCTTGCTGGAAAGCAGCGCCACGAGTACTTTACAGCTCTCCTGGTGCACGTACCGGCTGATGGTGTTTTCTGCACTGGATGAGATGCTCGTAGGAAACAACGATCCTGTCCAAGTAAGGCTGGCAA